TGATGTGGCGATACTGAAGTACTTTTTGTTTCCCTGCCTTTGTCTGAAGTTTATTTATTTGTTCTTTTCAGACTGAGTACATGGATCATTTTGGATCCTATGCAAAGAGAAGGAGGCATGACAGTGAACAGTCTGTCCTGGAGTACACAGACCTGGAGGCAGCCGAGGCGTTGGTGTGTATGAGCTCTTGGGGGCAGAGTCACTTCCTCGGCAGCAGCAGGCCTAACCCCTGCAAGCCCAGACCCCTCACACCGGCTTCAGACTCCTGTGACTCCCTCATGCCGCCAGAACTCCCAGAGCCCCCAAAGGACTTTGTGTCCCTCTCCTCCTTGGTAAGTGACTCATCCTGATGTACAGGTTTCAAACCATGGGAAAATAAGTTAGGTTCATGCAGTCGATAAGTGCATTCTCATCCACCCCTTATTATGTGTATTTTCCTGTGACGAGTTAAAACACACACAAACCTTGGAATTACCTTTGGATGATGTGGAAAAGTTGCTCTATTGAAAAAAGTCTAAAGGCTACAAAGTGCAATATAGTTTGCAAATAAACGATGAGTTACATGAAGCATGTGACTTCAACATCCACTGAAGCTGCTGCTCCGTTTAAGAGACCAAAGACAGCTCCACATAGACCTTTGTACATTTTCTCACACACAAATCGTATAGTGAATGCGAACAGGCATTCATTCACAATTCAATTTGAAGGTTTTCTCAAAATGTTGTTAGAATTTGCGATATATTATGAAGAAAACCATATGACTTTTAATATGAAAGTGTAAAGATAACAAGTTTATGACATGCGGCTGGTCATGTAGTTCCTCCTCTGAGAGACAGGGTGATAAAAAGCTCTCTTTAGGGCCCAGAATGATAATCTTTCCTGTGTTTCCCTCCCTTTCCTCTGCAGTGTATGACTCCCCCTCATAGCCCAAGCTTCGTTGAGGCGTCCAGCACTGCTGTGTCCTCACAGCACTGTTCCGGCCTCCACCAACCTGTCCTGGCACCCATTGCTGAAAAGACCCCCTCCCTCCCCCCTCAGCCACAGCCCTGCAGAGCCATGGCGACAAGCGTCATCCGCCACACCGCAGACAGCACCCCCTGCCAACACCACATTCCAGTGGACCCCGATCCAAAGAAAACAAGACACACAGTAATGGCTGCGACACTCTGCCAGCAGCACCTCATTACAAAAACTGAGCAGATAACCACACCTCCATCTCCCCCGGCCCCTCTCACACCCACATTATCAGCCTCAGGAATGGAGCAGCACACCAGTCTCTCAAAACTCTATTTGAACAGTGTCTCCACCCCCACTCCTGTCAATATGCAAATGCAGAACGGCCCCCCTGCTCCCACGACCCTGTCACCGCCCTCAATCCCCAGCCCTCAAATCATCTGCCAGATGTTCCCCGTCAGCAGCCAATCGGGTATAATCTCAGCCTTCATCCCCGGTGTTCAAACGTGCCATTCTGGGATTCGGACCACCACCACACCAATCCTCCCCCAGCGCACTTCAGTAAATGGAGCCCCCGTCCAGCAGTCCCTCATCATGGGCTCAGCGGTTCCCCAGGGCACGGTGATGCTGGTCCTCCCTCAGTCCTCTGTCTCTCAGGCCCATCACTGCCCTCAGACTGTCATGACCCTGGGCAACACCAAGCTGCTGCCCCTGGCCCCGGCCCCTGTGTACGTGCCAGCTGGGCCGAGCGGAAATACGGTAGCCACAAAGATGGACTTTTCCCGCAGGAGAAACTATGTCTGCAACTTCCCGGGCTGCAGAAAGACGTACTTCAAGAGCTCACACCTCAAGGCTCACCTGAGAACACACACAGGTGAGAAAAACATTGGCACTGGGTCAAGGATAGGGCAAGTGGTGGAGTAAGAGTCAGGAATAATAACAGTCCAGTTTATTTTAGTGGAGGTCTATGTTTGTTGGCAGTCTCAAAAGCACCCAAGGCACTGTGATTGTCAGTTAAAAATCCTTCATTGGTACATAGATAATAATCCTTTATTTTATCATGGGATGCTTTTCAGACTTCCAATAAACAGGTGGGGTTAACTTCATATAGAAGTGTTGAGCTTGTTTGTAACTGAGGATGTGGAATAAAACGCGACCACAGATGAGTGTTACATCCTGTTTGTTATACTTTCTTGGCTTTGTTATTCTCGAGTGAGCTCATTGTTCTGTCTCCTATCCTAAAGGGTGATCTGTGAAGTTTTTATGACTGCTATCTGACTCACTTGCTGACTCCCTGCGCTCCGTGTATCCTCCCTTTAGGTGAGAAACCTTTCAGCTGCAGCTGGGACGGCTGTGATAAGAGGTTTGCACGCTCCGACGAGCTCTCCCGTCACCGGCGAACACACACCGGGGAGAAAAAGTTTGTGTGTCCCGTGTGTGACCGGCGATTCATGCGCAGTGATCACCTCACCAAACACGCTCGCCGCCACATGACCACCAAGAAAATTCCTTCCTGGCAGGCTGACGTTCGTAGCCTGAACAAGATGGCCGCCGGCAAAACGCCTGTCTCAAAGCCCGGCCTTGCAACAATCAGCATGCTGGTACCTGCCGGCACCAAGTAGACTATAATCATCCTACTTACTACCAAGATACCACAGGGACACATGCAGGGAGCAGCCAAGCACACAAGGCTGCTGCTGTTTAACTCATGGGAATGACAGAAAAAACATGCACTGGACTCTTTTTTTCTCTCTACTGCTCATTTGTACAATTTTCTTTAAAGGATTCTTTGTTTACTATGATATTAATGCACTCTTGCCAAAGCCTTTGTATGAAGTTTGTCTTATTCATTTCACTTTCTCTAGCTCTCCTGCAACACTTTCTCTTTGTTTGTGTTGATACTGATAGATATACATATATGTCTATGTGAATGTATTGTTTGTTGTGAAATGCATTTATTTGTCATATTTGGGAAAACATGATAAACAATGTAAATATGAATATTAATTATCAGTACTTCGATTGTACCATAATTATATCTCCCTGTCTAACTTTTCATATTATTTAATACATATTTGTAATAAAAGAAAAATATTAAATGAGTCAATCTTTGCTGATTTTGTGACCTTTCAAATATCTTATCCGGGAACAAATAAAGTTATATTCAGCAATCTTTTACAGTTGTCTCAGTCAGAAATGCAGTGAGTAGGACGTTCCCATATCCTGTGTGCGTCACGCTGCGACTCCCCCACCACCACCCTCTTTTGGTCCACTAGCTGAATGCATTTTTGGAGTTATAAAATCTCTTGGTGGGATCATCTGGGGACATTGGGTCTCAGAGCCAAATTGCTGATGAGTCAGGAGACAAGACAGACATTTGTTTTTCTTGTTCTGGAGGTAAATAACTGATCATTTAAGTCCATTCAGCACTATCACATGTGGGCTAGGAACCGGTGGTTGCATAATACACCAGGGTTTTATTGACTTAAAATCTCTCCTAAGTCTGGTATAATTTAGCAAACTACTCATGTTCTTGTGTTTAGTGGCTACAGAAAAAGTATTTCTGAGACTCACTATAACAATTATCATAAGAACAGTTAGAATTTAAAATTAAGAAATACAATTAGTGTGGGACAAAGTACTATCTTTTCAGTAATATTTTAGTAGCAATACCACATTGTAATACAAGGTTCAAGGTCCTTTATTTAGTCATATGAACATAGCTAAAGTGTAGTTATGCCGATGCAAATCTTATGTCACAGGCTTCTCCAACAGATGAACACAAAACACAGATAAACAGAAAAAAGATAGTGCAAGTAAACAGAAAAATAGTTTAAAAAAAAGTGAAATAGTGCAATAAGAGTCTATATGCAAGTTATTGAAATAGGATATAGTTAAATAGATAAATAATTTAAAAATAATTTTTAAGTAGCAGCCAGATGAATATTAGGGATGTTGTTTCAAATGTTCAGGTGTTTAACATATTTTGCTTCAACATTTCAGGTTCACTACTGTGAATCCAAAACTGAATATAATATAATGTAATTTAAAATATAATTATTTGCTGGACAGGTGTATAGTAAAATATCAACGGATGTATTTTAGTAAATGTGTATGCATAACAGTACAAATGAAAGGATACGATTGTCCTTTTCACAGGTTCTATCTTTTACAATCATTTCCTACAATCATTAGGGCCAAAATACAAAGGTTTTCAGCCAATAAAAATAGGGAAAAATCTTTGGAAATGTTGTAAAGTAAACAATAACAATAAAAAAGGTTAAGATGCTGCTATAGAGCAAAACGCGTTTCTCTCTGCTTCTGATGCTGCTGCTACTGATTCATAAGCACTGTGGTCCCATACCCCAGTAACAGCACACCTCTCCCAATCAGACAGGGAGAAATATCAACTATTGGGGGTGCGACCAATGAGCTCTCTTCCCTGCACACCAGCCCCTCCCCCTTGCCCTTACTGACCGACTTCCCCAATGCATCCATGCAGCCTGAGCGCTGCCCTACACTGGCATCTGCTGGTGGGTTTCTTTCATTTAAACATTTACACAACATTTGACAAAAAGTGGTTCAGGTTTTTCCTATATTTGTGTTTTATGCCTTTGTTATAAAACACAAATATCCAGCCCAGTAACAAAACAAAAAATGATGCAACACGACTAATTAGATAATATTAAGTGAGAAAACGATACAAAATAAGGAAATTGGTCGCAATTTCTATAACTAATTGAGACTAACTAAGACTCAGAGACTGCACATTAATTTAAAATGACACTTGACATTCTAGCAAAAACCATGCAACTGACGAAAATGTACCAGTGTAGTTATCTAACTCAAGTAAAATCATCTTTCAAAATAAAACATTTTAAAGTATCATTTTCAAGTTGCATGACAAATATGTTTCATACAACTGTCATCAAATTATTCCAGTAATTGTGTGAAAGTGTCACCATGCAGGCTACAGCCACCAAAACAATCGTTTCTCGCGGACAAATTTCCCTGTAACACCTATCGCGTTGCTATGGATACATCGACACAACTGGGACCGTTTGTTGCCAACAAGAGGTAACAGGAGATAAAATACATGGAAATTGACATAAAGCGACATCAAACTGTAAATGTATCTGCGACAATAGCTTTTAAAACTTTTTCGATTTCTATTTATACAAGTTTAGTTTAAGAAAGCTGTTGCTGTTAACTTTACCTGCGTCAATATTACTCCTCGAAACCGTCAACATGGCGGCTGTAGACAAGCTGAAAGAACTAAACATCACCGTGGATGAAATCGACAGACTGTCAAAAGCTTTCAAAGACGAGAAATTCAAGAAGATGCTGTTCGATTACGCCCATGAGTTATCTGACCCTGAAAATAAAAAAAGGTATGAAGAGGAGATCAAACTTCTGGAGCAGGAGAGAGGAAACACGATTGAATTCATCCACCCGAAACCGTCCAGGGTTCTCAAGACGAGTGTGAACGGCAAGCAAAAGTGTTTTATCAACATCTGCAGCAATGACAAAGTTGGGAAACCTGAACGTAAATTGGGGGTGTCCGAGGAAGGGCGCAGGGGACAATGCTGGGCCCTGCCCCACAGTCTGCACCCAGGGAGGCAGGACACAGATCCAAAGGGGAACAAGATCATGATCTATGACGTCATCTTCCATCCTGACACTCTCCACCTTGCGAGCAGAAACAGAGGATTTACCAATATGGTGGACAGCACAGCCATTCAGGGAATCCAGGATAATTTTAAAGTGACTCTGGATAAAAACAACTTGAGGGAGATCAAATCAAAATACAAAGGCCTGCCACAGCCCTGTGTCATCCGAAAACCCATACCTGGTTATAAAATGCCATCAGAGGAGCCAGACCCTCTTGCATTCCCATACCCAGATGAAAAGAGACCTACCCCGCAAACTAAGCCCCCAAAATCACTTGCATCAAAAAACATAAACGAGGCTACACCTAAAAGCATCCCGCCTCAGAAAGTTAAAGAGCCTACAAAGCCAAACTACACCGTTAAATATCGATCGTTTACGGATATACAGGACTTCAGATATGCTCGAGACTCGGCCCAAAGCCCCAGGCCCAAAGAGATAGTGGTTACCATCGACATGCCTCTTCTGAAGGCCGCCACAGAGGCCAGCCTCGAGGTGAAAGAGTGTCGGCTGATGCTGCTGGAGTCCAAGGAGCCAGCCTATAGACTGGAGTTGCCCTTAGCTTATCCTGTGGATGAAGATAAAGGAGAGGCCAAGTTCAACAAACAGAAACAACAGCTCACAGTCACACTGCCCGTTCTCCCTTCTAAGGAAGCTTTTGATTTTCATCTAGGGCCTGCTCAGAGTAGTGTTAGTGATGATGAGAGGCAAGAGGAGAATACTGAGATGGAAGAGGAGGACAAATGCATTGAGGAGGATTTGAGAAACCAGACAAGGGAGGAGGAAGTTGAAGAAGAGAGAGGTCAGGAGATAGGAGAGGAGCAGATGAGCGAAGGCCAGGAATCTGAAGGAGAGAAGGATACGTGGAGAAAGCAGAAGAGGGAAGGAGAACATACTCAAGAAGAGGAAATCAGTGTGGAGGAGGAGGCAGAATGCAAAGAAGTGAAAGAAAAAGGCCAAGAAGGTGTGGTGGAGGACACATTGAAAAAGCAGAAGGAAGCAAGTCTAATAGAAGTTGGAGACTTTAACCTAGAGAAAAATGAGACCCATGGAGATCGAAATGAGACCCTTAATGAGACCCATGGAGATAAAAATGAGACCCTTGGAGATAAAAATGAGACCCATGGAGATCAAAAGGAGACCCTTAATGAGACCCATGGAGATCAAAATGAGACCCATGGAGATCAAAATGAGACCCATGGAGATCAAAAGGATCCCGTTCTTACGGGTTTTGAGGACGACACTGTTGATGCTTCTGCTGAAGGAGAGAACGCATTACCTGTGGAGGACGAGCTTGTGGCCTCCCCTGAAACAGAAAACCAGCCTGTTTTAATCCCTGTTGAACATTCAAGCTCTATAGGAACAGAGGGAGGAGTGCATCAGAATTCTTGTTTGGAGTCACCACTTAAACTGAAGACTTCAGACATCAACGCGGAGACTGGAAAGAAAAAGGATCATGTAAATGGAGATGAGGTGAGATCAATCCTGACACATCCTCAACAATCCTATTGACCCGAAAGTAAAAAGTGTGTGTGGTCAAACTAATCTGCTTCTGTAGTTTTATATATCCTTGTTTTTTTCTTAAGGTGGAAGATGCGTCATTTCTATATGACAGATCCGGTGAGGAATCCCAAACCTTCCTAGACGCTAACGCTGAAAACAACATAAAGGGGTGCGACATTCCCCAGGAGTCCAGCGAGATGCCTGCAGCAGAGGAAGCAACCAAGTCAAGCAGAGGAGATTCGGAAGACGGTGCCCCCCCCTCCCCTGAGGAATCGAGGGGGGGCGTGGATGAAGACGACCTGCCGACGGAGCAAATCCTCCGGCCTAAGAAGAGCAGGACACCACCTGCGTTATTGAGGGAGATTGATGAAGATGGGAATGAAACAGTCATCAGCGATCATTCCACATCTGCTGGGTTCATCTTTCAAAACACCCTGATGTTTGAGCTGGACTGAGGAAAGCGTGCAAACCTTTTTAATGCCAGTATTTAGAGGGAATCTGCAGTGTGTCAAACAATAGAACATCTTCATATTTTCAATACCTGACCTTTCTCTTCAGTATTTTAATGTATGACAAATTCATCCCTTCCCAGAAAAAAATACTTTAGACAAAAAGTTGTTACTTTTATTTGATTAAATTCACATTTATATACAATTGTGGGTTGTAATAAACAGTAAAACCAACTCCCATCGGCTAACACACACTGTGTTCAGGACAAATATCTAATTTCTTTATTCCCCTGCCGTGTAGAAGTAGGCCAAGTAGGAGAGTCTGAAATTTGCTTTAACGGGCAGATAGAAAAAGAAAGATGACACTTTAACTGTCTCTTTGTGTCAGTGCTGCTGTCCACTATCATTATATAAATGCAGTGCCTCTCAGTTACAGATGGAGCAGGTAGCTGGGAACTGCATTATAATAGAACGTTAGTGTTATAACCCATCCACCTAAAGGCAGAACAAGAAAACTGCGTCCTCCAACAGTATCTCAAATCCAAAATCCACAGCAGTTTTGGTGCATTTTATGTCCAAAAAAAGAGTTTGTTCTTCATCATCTGATTCCTCTCTGGAGGGCCTTGTCTAAAAACTCAGAGTAGCAGGATAGGGAGCAGAAGTGCTGCTGCACCGGAGCATCTGTACCCCCCATGTCGTCCACCAGGACCACCGTGTGGGACACCTGGTGCAGGTTCATGCTGACCGCCGTCTTGATGAAGTAATTGAGGCAGACACAGCCACACTCGCAGGTCTTCGCTACTTCCAGGTCCCGACACAGGTGGGCCGGGATGAGGTGAGGTCCGTATGGTAACCTGAGAGGAGAGTAAAGGAAAAAACAGTTAGGAGTTATCTGTAGGTACAAAAAATGCAAAGCTCAACATTTCTGAAATTGTAGAGGCACCTTTACATAAAAAAAAAGTAAGAGATTAAGATCAAGCAGTAACTTTACATGAAAACACTTTTTTGATGAGGCTATTTAGAATCAGAATACCTTTACTCGTCCCACAGAGGGGACATTTACATTACGTTAAAGCAAGTGAAGAGACAAATATAGCTTAGTATTAATTAAGAAGCATGCATAAAAATACTAAAGATAAAAGTAGAAATTACAGAATTTGCATAATACACATCCGGTACCAGTAACAGTTTTTGAAATATAGCAGCCAGGTGAAAGTATTAAAGGTGGGAGTATATATATATGTTGCACATAAGTGGTACTCCACAACAGGGGTGTTTTACGAGTGGGGCGGGGGGGGTCTACCAGGGGTCATGATGGTTGTAAAGTAAAGTTCCAACCTTGGAAATATAGCACTGTGTTTCAAAAAACCTTCAAGTTGTTATTTTAAATACATTTTGACTCTTATTTTTGTGAATTTTAACATCTTCTCTCTCACAAATGTATGATTAACCTCGCAATATATTCAAAAACAAATTCCAGTGAATATGTGACTCTAATCTCGGAGAATACACAGAAATGTCAGAGTCATTTTCTCTAAATAATACCCCTTCCCCTGACCCCTATTTAAACATACAAATATAGATCTTTAAATCTACAGTGGCCCTAATGCGTACAAAGAGTATGACATTCTGAACATGTTCAATTCTCACCTGAGGTTGGCCACAGCTCTGGTAGCCAGCTCTTGCAGTGGAAGGGGGAACTTGAGTTTCATGGTGTGGTCCAGAGGGTTAGGTTGGACGAACGGATTTCCAAACAGGTCCAGGTTTTCCAGACTCAGCTTACGGAAGTCACCCGGCAACACAGCTAGCTGGTTATGCGCCGCGGACAGGAACCTCAGCGAGGATAGCCGGCCCATGTGGAACGGCAGACAGACGAGCTCGTTGTCGTCCAGTTTGAGATTCACCAGTTCTTTGAGCTGGCAGAACTGAGCGGGGAGGGAGCGCAGGCGGTTCTGGCTGAGGTCCAGCAGCTGCAGGGTGCGCTGCAGCGTGGACAGGCAGAGCGCCTCGCTGAAGGCCTCCAGGTGGTTGTTGTGCAGGATGAGCTCCGAGAGGCAGCCCAGGTCACCGATGGTGGCGGGGAGTTTCTTGATGTGGTTGTTACTAAGGTCAAGCTTCCGGAGAGCTGCAAAAACAAACAAAAAACCAACTTAAGAAGGGTAATCAAGTTATATAATTGGCATTTACATAAAGAAGCATTTATTTTAAAGAATGGCAACAGTAATTGAGACAATCAAATGTCTTCCCTAAGCTCATTAGCATGTTCTTTTTTGCAGTTTTTCCTTCTATAAATGTCTATAGTGGACATCATAACGTTTGAGGGAGGAATTGATGTGTGCTGCTCTATTTATTGTATCTAGTTGTGGGAAAAACTGAAAATCTAAATAAACATATTGCTTTAAATATGAAAATAAATTCTACATTTGTCACTATGCTAATCATCAAGATCACTTTCCCAAACTTCCAAAAGCTTCTTCCAGTGACAAGACAAAACACAACCATTGTCAAAAATATGTAGAAACTATGATAACTACTGTAAACTGACCTCATTGGCTAAAATAGGAAAATAGCCCATTCAACATTTTCCATAAAAATAATTTGTGCATAAACAGAATGTAAATCGAGTTTTATCAAACGCAATAGGCATAAACATATTTGTTTGTGTGACCCGATCGCCTTACTCTACCTTTCAGGGACAGCATCCTCATGTCCACGCGGGACAGCTTGCAGTAGGACACCTGCAGCTGCTCCAGAGAGTAGGGGAAGCTGGAGGTGAGGGGGTAGTCCTTTTTGGAGACGATGCTGAGCTTCTTCTTGGGTTGCTCCACGTCTCTGGCACGAACAGGAGTGAGCGTGGAGAGAGGAAGGCTGCTGGCGTCACTCCCTCTGTCCGCCAGACGAGCAGCTGATAGGAAGTTCTTTAAGCTGTTTGCATCCGCCTGCAAATAAATACATTATCTAACATGTGGATTCGTAGGTGAGAAACACAGCTCACTCACAGGTTCTCAGGTAGTCTTGTATGACCGGATTCCTGAAAATACTATTTTCCTGTAATCTATCTTGACACACTTACTTTAAAAGAACATTATGTCTGCTAAGCTAAATTCCCTTTTAACATTATGTATACAATTGTGAGTGTCATGTTAGCATTTCACATTCAACACTTATTTCATGTTTGGAAATGTAAACTCTGGGCTTTTTGAGGAATTTGAAATCATTAAATGTTTTCTTTTTTATCTCAAGTCAACCTTTAATAAGAATTCCCAATAAATGTGCATTATTGTTCAAAATGTTATTATGCTATGGTCAGGACATGTTATTACAGTGTTAGCCCAGCTATCACATTACTGGGTTTAATCCTGATCTGGTTAGGGGACATTTTTAAAATATTGCCACATATTTGGGTGATACAGTGTGTTAATTCAAAAGTAATTATTAAGTAATTACATAATTTCCCGCAGTTTGGGAACTAGTTTTCACTTTCTACCTGCCTAAAGTGGCATTAGTCAGTTTGTGTATGTGTGCGTGCTCTTCATTCAACGCGGCAGGTTGAAATATGTTAGAAGAATCTAGGTGAAAGGTCACCGCTGACCTCAAACAGCCAGGAGGGCTTTACAGCGACTGAGAACAATGAGGCTGCATCAACAACCCAGTCACAACAACCCGATGTGCCTGTCTGGTGATAAATGAGCGAGTGGACAGTTTGGCTCTGGTCCATTCGCTTCAACATAAACCTGAAAGACTTGCTCTAGGCAAAAAAACAACGACTGGTCTTCACTTCACCTTTAAAATGTAGTGACAACATGTTGGATGGCATACCTTGCTCAAACAAATGTCCACAGCTGGTTCCTTTATTCTCACAGTGGCCTTGCCTTCCTCCACAAACCAAGTGAAGAACTTCTCTATGTTGTCTTTCAGCTGCAAGAGAAAGTTGGCAAATGTCAGTGATAGAAAATACATGACACAACAACGAGAGAGCTTTTCACTGTCTCAACAAGTGCAGACGAATACTGAAAGCTTTGAACAAGATGGTAAACATGCAGGTGTTTGTCTTGGCAGCTGTGAGTTTAAAATTGAGCACTCGAAAGCAACGTTTGAGACAGTGAAAACATACTCTTAGGGTTTTTAATCCATGTCTTTCTGGGAAAGATAATGATGAATAATATACAAATTTGCTTTATCATATGACACAGGGGGTTGAGTTAATGAAACCAAAAGATATAATCAAAGTTACTGCAATGTGTTGTGTGACACATAAAAGCAATGCTTCTGATGCTGTTCATTTCTTTTATATGTGCATTGTTTGTCTGCTGTTGAGCCCTGTCAAAGGGGAATAGCACTTGCTTTATGACAGACAGACAATAAAGTTTAATCTTATCTTCTACCCAAACAATGCTCTTTAAGTCAACCACTGGCTGATTCAGGCAAATATTATCATTCTGTTTAAAAAAGAAAACTTCCTGACAAATGCATGCTGGGAAGGGGTTTCAGTCCCCTTCCTGGATGGATGGACTACATAAACATACCCTAAAAATAACAAGAACTTATAATTATTGGAAAGAATACATGTAAAAGAAACATTCTTTGTATGTATGTACTTTTACTCCACTAAATTTATTTAGTTACTTTGCAGATTTTGTTTAATGATTTGAAATATAATATATTTTAAAGCTTAAATAAGACTTAAGTGACACCTAGAGTAAAATTCACAAAAGCTACCCTGCAGTAGACAAAGTAATAAAAACTAGCTGCACCTTTACCAGCTTTGATAACACTCTAATTAATTAATAATTACAATCAAAACATGTAATTTATATTATTCGGAATGGGAATGTTGATGTATATTTGATGGTTATACTGATGCAGGACTTGTACTTGTAACAGAGTATTCCTACACTCTGGTAGTTCTACTTCTACACAGTCCAAAATCTGATTTCTTCTTCCATCTCTGGCAGCATCCTCACAGTTCAGACAGAGATCAGCAGACACTGACCTTGTACCTGGAGCCTGCTCTGTCTTTAGCTGTGCAGATCATCATGTAGATGTTGCTGCGATGACTCGTCTTATCCACATGTTTCCCGATGGACAGCACCGCCCTGACCCCCTTCCCTCGGTTCCTAATCCCAAACGAGGGGAGCATCCGATTCACCACCTCCACATCACACTGCAGCTTCATCGCAACCGAAGACTTAATAAAAAAACAAACACTTAAAGGTGAGGCCTAAGGCCGAGTCAGAGGAGATGTGTTAAATGCATACTGGAGAAGAAACAGAAACTTCCGCGAAATAAGTAACGTCATGGAGCTTAGAGACACATCTTCACGGATGTCAATAACAACCAGAGCTGGCGTCTCTACCGGGCAGCAGCAGCAGCTCCTGGACGCCCGTGAAGACAAGACATACAGCGGGGACACTATGAGGCTTCACCGGGCAGCTACCGGGAGCCTGTCGGTATCTTGACGGAGAGTAAAAGCTGTGGGACAGGTCTCCGTTGGCAGTTGGCTGCTGGTTAGCTACCGTTAGCATGATCGGGCGCGCGCAGGAAGTGACGTCATGGAATAGCTGGTTAAACCCTTAAACCCAGCGCGGGATCAGTTAGCTGGAAAGGGAAAGACAGACGTGTTTTTGATGGACTAAAAGGGAGTCGGGACTAAAGGCTTTATTTACTCATTCACTGTAGGACAGTACAATGTTGAGTTGTTGTAACATGTGTATTTACAATATACTTAACTACATTTTCAAGGCTTTGCTTTTTTTGTTAGTTTCAACAATTATATGAACAAAATGAAGAAAAATACCGATTACTATTATTATAACAACAAACAAATAAACCAACAAAATAAATGAATATGTCAGTGACTTATTCAGACCAATGTCTGGGTATATTTGAGTGACTGACATAATTGTTTAGTCACAAATGTAAGATAATCAAAAGTAACAATTACAATTCATATCTTATAAACATAATGGATTTGTATTAATATTTTTGAAACAGTAGTTTAATAATACTGTATGATATTATAACATTATTCAATTAGTTTGGTCTGGTGGCCTGATATCTAAAAAAGAAAATGTATTGTTATATTCACTTTTCGGTTTGTCGAAATACGTTTAATATATTTTGAAATCGTGAAGATAACAATATTTCAGGTCTCAGAGAATGGCGACGACTTGCCTAACCAGACAAAGGGGGATTTGAGATGTTATTCAAAAAAACATGTTTTATTTCTTCTCTTCCCTCTTATTTTTTATTTACATCCTGTATGTTGCCCAGATGACACTCGAACAACACGCTTTAAAGCTTTTGATCTCATAAATGGTTTATTTAAACCAACAACCCTCCATCTAGAAACAACAATGGAAAGCTAAGGTTTGTCTGAATGTCAGTGTTTCTTTGTAGTTGTACATTTGTACTTGAGTCTGAGAGTGTCTGACATCGTCTCCTCACATCAAAGATCACAGGAGAAACTTAGCTCACTCCTTCCAATTCATCTTCAGTATGAACACACACAAGGATGTGCATTCGTAAGCAACCTTTAAACTAAAATAAAAAAACGTGCCACATGCAGTGATATAAATTATGCATTTCATTAAAGCGAATTAAACCCCCACAATCCTGTCCTGTTAGATGACTCATCATACTATTTTCATATTTTTTCGCATTTGAAAGTACTTCCTTCAATCTGACAGGGTGCAGTAAACTTATGCACATACAATCATTTTTGAAGATTTTTTTATTGCTAACACACGTCTTTGGTTTCACTATTAATCAACTAAAAAGGACAATACATTTAGTAACAACATGCAACTTTTCTTTTTTCTTCTTCTAGTCTGAGATATGCCTCTAAGTTGCACACATCTTACACATATAAAAACACCAACATAGTCAATGTAGAAACTGGTTAAGATTTGCATCATGTGTTTTTTCAGAAATATAAGAAACAGTGGGATGCAGAGGTCGTGCATTTTTCATGTATCAGATGTTGTGTTGTGTGCACCATTTAGTCAAGTTTTTATTTTTGTCATCATACACACTGTAGTGTGTGAGTAGACAGAGTGTAGCTGCTACAAAGGGTGTATGACAATGCAGAGGTGATTTAGATACACAAGTACACCCTGTCTTTTCCACATTTAACTGTAATAATATGGACATGTGCAGTTCAATACTCTGAACTTTTGGTGACTTTGTTAAAAAATAGAGGTTTATATTTAGAAGGATAGTTTATATTGTTTGTAGTGGGGTTTCATGAAGTACTAGTCAGTGTATTACCTACAGAAGATGGCAGAGGCCCATCTGATAACATCAATATCAGTATAAGTGAACAATATATTTTGAGTAGTTTCAGCGCTTAACCTGACTGCCCTTTCAGGTGAAGAACAGAAGAACAGAAACCGTCGTCCATGCCCTCTTCAAGGCCACCAAATGTAAGTGACAGAAACAACACATTTACATCGCACAACACAGGAGTTGTTGGGCAACAACTGCCTCGATTGGTTAGTAATTTGTATTATTGTGTAACTTTGGTTAATTTAGATTGACTAAAGTCACCCAATAACAGAGACTGACCGACAGTTACTATATAAAGATGTATATTATATTATATGTAGTCTATGCCAGCATAGACTAGTCTGCTGGCTTTAAAGAGAGAAAAGATAAAAAAGGTACCTGTAAAAAAGGGCAGTCGCCGGAAAGGTAAAGGGGTACAAAATATTCTATATGATTATTTTAGTTGGCTTAAATATGTTTTGATAATAGCCCTAACACAACAGTTGGCTAAATTGCTTACATTTTGGGATGCTACTCTGTGCCGACCCCATCTAATGTAGCTAATACACTGTCGATGTGAATTATTCAATCGTACAACCCTACGTCCAACAATCAAAACTATCACCTTGAACCTTTTTTATATATGGAATTTTTTGAAACAGCTCCATAAATCAAAAATGTCATTCTGTCTAAGGAGCAAACATGTGAATCCATCTTGGCTCATCAATAAGTGTCCTAGTGTCCTTCACAGATCCGTCTCTACAAAGGACGACCCTCTTCGTATGTAATATCGCCTCACTTCCCTCCCGTCCTCACCCCCACAGCCCTCAGGCCTATGCACGATGAGCACAGGGAAGAAGCGGGCGTCCCTATAGGTGGGCGGACTGTCGCTGAGGGCCAGCTGGCTGGAGTCAGACCTGCAGCACGGCTCCTCTACGCAGCAGGGGTCCGTCAGGTTGCTGCTGCGGCTCCCCCACAGAGCCACGGTGCGGTGGGAGCCGTACATGCGGCAGAGAGAGAAGCGGGAGGTGTCCAAGGAGAGGTGGGAGTGTAGCAGCGCTCCCCGGCAGGAGAAGATGGAGGAGCAGCTGGAGCTGGTGACGAACCTCCTCCTTCCTCCTCCATCACCTCCTTCAGTCGGCTCCCTGCATTGCTCGCAGTCCTCCTGGCTTTGCAGGGCGCCGTAACTCTGAGCAGTCTGGCTGCCCTCCAGGAGGAAGCAGTTTGAGGAGGAGTTGCATTCAGTGTCTGGTAAGGAGTTCGAGTCGGCTGTGCTCATGTTTATCAGTATAGCCTCAGAGTAGCTAGGGATCACCTGGCGGTTACAGCGTATGTGCCACTCCATCTCAGTGCTGTCCAGTGTGTCTACTCTGGGAATAACACACCCAGTATTAGGCCTGTCTTCATCGAGAGGAGACGGGCTGTACTCTAACCCGAATAGTTTCTCTATGCGGTAGTGCACATAGGCAGTGCGGTACTCTATCAGCACTCTCAGAGGCCACGACAGCATGAGCAGAGCTGCCAGCCAGAAGGCGACCTGCGAGCTGTACCAAGGCAACCGGTCAGGGTCCACATAGGCTATCAGGTTTTCTCTGAAGTCCACGTTCTTCAGCTGCATGCCCTCCCTGGCCTCCATGTAATCGTCCAAACCCTCGATTTCAGAGAAGAACCTGGCTCTCTGGTTGAGGTAATCGTTTTCTGGCCCGGCCTCTGTGAAGCTGAAACATTTAGTGAAGCGCAGGCGAGTCGCCGGAAGTCCCTCCAAGCCCATGAGGTCACGTGACACATCTTTCATCCCGCAGCGGCCGAAGTCAAACTCCCCCTCGACCACATGCGTGTTCACCCTCTCATGGTACACCTGCATGGTGGTGTAGGCGTCTCCATTGCGATATCGAGTGACCTGACGGGTCCTACGGACAAAGTGGTAGCTGATGGCCTTCCACCAAATGCAGGGTTGGGCCTGTCTCATGCTCAGCACGCGCTCGTACACGCTGTCCACGTCTGCTTTGCTCTGCAGCTCGCTCCTCGCTCTGCAGTGCCAGCACTCCACCATGTATAAGACGTAGAGCATGAGCAGGAAGGCCAGAGGGATGTAGATGTAGCCGTCAGAGCAGGGGCTATCATGGTAGATCATTGAGTGTCCGTTGACACCCATCCCAGAGGCGCCCCGCAGGGAGGAGGTGAACGAGGCCGAGAATGAGGAGGTGAGGGCCGAATTGAAGCTGATTTTTGTGACCCGGGTCAGCTGGCACCAGGCCACGGCGCCCAGGCAGCTGTACATGAGCACAGAGAGCAGCAGGCAGCGCCAATGGGACTCCCGGCACACACAGGCACCGAGGGACTGCTTCACAGGACGCTGCTGCAGAGAGAGAAAGAGTAATGAGGAAAAGGCACTCAGAGCAATGAGGCCATTAAACCTGGCGACGACAAGCAGTAGAAATGCAAATGAACGGGGCAGCACTGGCCAGGCTTTCCCATACCTAAGCATAAAGTACATCAAAATAAATAAAGCGCAGTGGAGTTCACTCAACCACGTAGTGTCCCTGGGAGGCTGTGAGTCACAGCAACCGAAATAAATGAACATTCACTAAGGTGTTTTCACACATCTATCTCTGAAATTAATTGAATTTATATTGCCTGAGGGAGAAATGTACTACTACATTTGACACAGTAATATTCCAGGGTAAAACTACAAAACATCATCATTAAACCCTTCGAAATGAAAATCCAATGGTAGAAATGAGTCATGCAACTAATGAAAGTTTCTATTATCGATGTTTCTGCAGATTGTATACTAGATTCATCCATTAATGTCAGAAATAGAGAAAATGTCCATCACAGTTTTTTGCCCAATATTATGTATTTTCAAATTTCATTTTGACTCAAATGTATTGACTCATACTTAACTTAACTATATCTCATTTGAGCTATCTCTGGGCGTTCTGCTGCATAAGTAGTCTTTTTTAATATTTTCATAAAAATATTGTATTATTTTGACTTAAGTAAAATTTGAAATACTATTGTACAGCATGTTCTTTATGTACATATGTTTTTATTGGATTGTTATAGATAAGTTGCATTTTCTGCTTATGTTGTGGGCTTTTTCGTCTTTTACCCAAGAAATAAATCGGAATATTTCTCCCAGCACAGCTTAAAACAAACACACATGTTGAAGTATTCAGATTTTTTTTTTCAAGCATCTCTGCTCTACACGTATCTGCTGAGTATTCGGTGGATAGCTCGGGGCAGAGAAACAGAAAGTGCTCACATTTGCAATACTGACCACAAGTTTAATTGTCCCATTCAGCAGAGACACACTTGCCTAAAGCTATTTAATCAGTAACACTAACTGTAAAATACGCTAGTGCGTAACCCTTTATGATTACAGAGATCAAAACATTGCAACATTTAATGTGTGAATCTTCAAGGAGGCTAGTTTAGGAATTCAAAATAAATGTGATCCCACCTTCAACATTTTTTTTCTCCAAGCAACTATGATATTCTTTGATATTTTGTCCTAATCTTGTGGTGGCCATGGTCCTCATGAGATCCTGTGTTCTTGTTGGTATACCTCTGGTGTTTTATGGAGTGAAGCAATTTATGCTGACAACCAGCCCATCCATTACTGCGCTGACACAGGGGTGGGATGTCTCTTTGCTGGTTCCACCTCGGTTATGTATGGGGAAAACAGGGATGCATGTCTTTAGTACCAGACGATGGACTTTCCAGTTGTCCAGGCTTTCTGACTACAGATTGGACAGATTGTAACACTGTTAGATGATGTTGTTTTATCATGTTTGTAAGTGCAAATCTAGCCCTTCAATTTAACGTTAAACTAATTTAACTAAATATGCGGGCAAATGCATATCTGCAGTATAACATAGGAATTAGCATGGACACTGGATCTGATGTAAGACAACTCGTGCTCTCTTACTATCTGTGCATGGCTGGCTGCACAGAGCCAGTCCCCCAGATGGAATCAAAGTAATAACTCTATGACAGTAAAGTCTGAGGGCATGAAGGAGCAAACACAGACATGCATATAAAGATCAACACTTAAAATCATGCATATGACTTTGTAAATACAATATTTGCAGCTTAAGAACTCTCTTTAGGAATAAAGTGCATGCATTATGAGAATATCTTTCCATGGATTCTAGTGTCACTGAAATTGATTCTTCTCACGAGCAGAGAGGCTGTTTGGCTGCAGGTGGAAGGTTGCACTGAGAGGATGTCAATAAAGGATTTATGTTTCAAGAAGACACAGAGATCAGAATGCATAGGATATAAATCTAAATTCGGAAGGAATTTTATACAATAAGCTTGATGAACTTGCATCTTCAATTGGGCTTATTTGCATTGCACAACAACAATTTTTATGGATCAGAATGTATTTTAATTATTAAAAGTAATCAATTGATCAGAACTATTCATAGCTGATATTTCAAAGGCTTTTTTTCAAAATTCTAAATGAACGTGAGGTATGTGTACACCTACCTCCTCCGGGGCATCACTCTCTGCCGGTGAGTCCTGCTCATCCTCCTGCTCCTCTTCCTCAGCCTCAGTGGGAGCATCGTTGACCGCCGTGTCCTCCGCAGAGTCCGGATCGGAGGAGAGCATGCTGCACTTTTTCGCATGTCAGAGACAGATTATAAACTCACTCCTTTTTCTTCACTTGCACTAGCTGTCTTGCTCCCCCTTTGTGCGCCCCCTTCAGCTCCACGGCGTCTGGGCCGGAGCCAGCGGGCTGCTGCTGCTGCACGGAGCGGGGGTCCCGCGGTGGTCCCGCCTGACCGGGCACAAGGGGGCGGGGTTGAGGGATTTCACCGCAGCAAAGACAGCAGCAGTTAACCATGATGCAGTCGGCGAGGCTTGTTGTCAGTGGCCAGTTTAAATTACCTAATTACATCCATACATTACTGCACAATGTTCTTCCAGATGCACGAACGTTGTCCAGTGTCCCGGAGTAGAGAGATGAAGGATGTGGTTAAACCTACACGTTACACGACATAAAATAGCGACGATTCGTTAAACTGTTCCCCGAAAATGCAGATAAAAGGCGTATGCTTTCTAAGACATAAAATGACCTAAGAATATTTAGGAGAAGGGGGTTGTAGAGGAAAAAATGTCGAGGTCGCTTCGCTTTCCTGTCTATCTATCCTGGTGGAGCTTTTGTTTTGAAGGTGCAGCGTGGTGTCACATTAAAGATCTTCCGTGTTGGTCAAACGAGAGTTGTGTATCACCACGGAACCAGCACTCAACTGAAGGTTAGCTTGCACAAATGTGACATATTTTAACACAACAAAGACTTCAACATTTTAATTAAAATGTTTGGTGTTGAGTTGGATAACTTTAGCTTTCGCTGAGTGAGGTTTGAGATGTTCAGCTAACGTTAAATGTTCCGTTCAGCCCCGGTGCGTGCTGATGTAAACTAACCTACACGTGAAAACGGGAAAGCAACATTAAACAGGTAGCTAGTGAGCTAATGTGAGACATAAGTAATTTATTTGTTTAAGTTGTTAAAGTCGGTAGTTTTCTGTCATTTTTACACTCCTAGATAACGGGAGTTACGCTTAAGATTATTAGCCATGCCTAATGCATATCCTCACGTTACCCAAAAGTATAGAGAGATAAATTAATATTGAATTGACATTATTTTCTTAAAATGATAGTGTTCAATATGCCAGAATGGAATTCAAATGTCCATGTATCTGTTAACAGGGGCGTAACACAGTTATTTTGTGGGCAGCTTTGGGCCCCTAAATCATCACAACGTATCACTCCTATATCCTATACTACTATACTCGTGTCAAAGTCTGTTTCCTCCACTATAACGGCTTAGCTCAGGCAATGCCAAATGTTGGAGAGGTTGGATTCATGTACCAGTATAGAGAGACACAAACGGATAGGGGAAATTAGAGTTTGTCAAAAAGATGTCTTTATAATCATCTTTTGTGTCTTTCAGAGTGATGTTGCGGCGTCCCAAGCCAACTGACTCTGAGGCAGACGTCCTCAGAGATCAGGAGAAGTTTCTGACCTCTGGTGCTCCGTCTGCTGCCAGTGTGGTCCGCCGTCCTGACAAGAGGAGAGGCGAGGCTGGAGGAGAAGGAGGAGGGGAGCATAACGGGAAGAGTGATGAAGAAAGACAGAAAGATGTTGTCACTATAGAAGGTAAGAGATCGGTCTGTTTTAAAAATAACTAACAACTCATTGACAATGTTCCTTAAACTCAAAATGAGGCATTGTAGTAGTCAACATTAATAATTTACACACTTCTCCAAGTGGACTATATCTATCAATCAAACTTTTTTTGTACACCGTACATACAATTATTTAAATATCTTCTATATTTCTTCAAGATCTTCCAGACGAACTCCCGTCTCTGACGCCAGCCCCTCCGAAGAAGTCTCGCTTCAAAACTGGTTGTGTCACTTTTGAGGATGAGGATGCTAGTGAGAGGCTGGACAAACATGACACTCACGTCAGCGCTGTGCTCTCCAGGATCGTTGTAAGTACCTGTTGTTAAATATGAGAGTGGGAAGTTTAAATCAGTGACTGTATGCCAAAGAAATAGCCTATTTTCTCTGTTTGACATATTTAGGTATACATACATACATCCAGTTTGTCCCTTACACTTTGTTGAACTGCTTTTTTCAGTTATCCAAGCTGGCTGATATCATATTTAGCATGACAGTTTTAAATATCATAATGTTTTACTGGCCGAATCAATAACATTATTATTTGTTTTCAGGAGAGAGATACCAGCTCGACTCCAATATCTCTACCAGCAGTTACAGGCATGGCTTTCCCCAAAGTAATGCACCGCTCAGAAAACAGCTGTCAGGTAAAAAGTTATTATTCCTATTCTTTCTGTCTTAAAGTGTCTAAGACAATTTAACCATAAAGCTAAAACTCACGAACAAATATCTGTATGTACAGAAATACTGCATTCATTTTAATTCTATTGTTAAATGTTATTCCTGCTTACTACTAGGTGCAACAATCTTCAGCTGGTGGAAGGAAGAGTATCTTTGCTCTTCAGTTTGCAGTTCAGAGACTCAAGGAGGGAAAGACACCTTTACATTGTGCACCTAAAGCTCCCCACACACCTGAACACAGAGAGCAGAACCTGCAGCCTGAGAGCAGCATGGATACAGATGATAGTAAGTAAATGGGATTCATATCATAAAGTGATGTTGGTAGGATCCTCAGGTGGTCAGTTGAATGGATCCCAGGGAAATACAGAAACAATATGACACAAACTTTGAAACCAATTCTATTTGAATACATCGATACCTTTTTATACCTTGCAGTGCTCTGGAGTTTTGGATGTTTGGATCACACAAATAGAAAGATTACTACGTGGCTAGTACTGGAATCTATTACCAAATAGAATGATACAGCCATAGTTGGCGTTAAAAAATCTATCTAGCCCTCTTCACATTCAATTTTTCCCCTCTCTCCTTCCTATTCAACAGAGCCAGCTGCATCCTCAGGTCCCAGCCTGCTCTCTGGTAAGGGGCTCGGGGTCCCAGACAGCTCAGGAGAGACGATAAGGATCCACAGGGAGAACCAAGAGAAGCTCCAGGCCATGTCCAAGTCTGAGATACTACAGGAGCAGAGGAGACTTTTAACTCAGCTCGGTAGGCAATGATGTTGTCCACATGATAGTTAAATAAAATAATATACAGTATGTTGTGATGAAGACATATGTTGTTGAGTTTATATCCTATCTAGTCAAATACACGAGAACTTTTTTTCTTCTTTTTGTTGGCACTTTTTCTTTTAACACGATTATTTCCGCTTCCCAGATCCTACACTGGTGAACTTTGTTAGGTCTCGAAAAGCCAAGAGCGTCCCATCCTCTGCCTCCACATCCGAAAAACAACCCCAGGGCAAAAGTAGCAGCGACAATTTTCCTCTTGAAAATCTGAGAAGAGAGTCAGACTTCTCCATCCCATCTCTGCCACTTCAGAAACCCCAGGAAGTAGAGATGGAAGGAGAGGAAGTGCCACCACAACCACCACCTGCTGTGAGAGGTATGATGTATTCAAAACCTTTTTATCTGGTCAGTTGTTCCTGATGCCCTGCATGTGAATGACTACGCTATATTATATTTCATATCTCGTTAACATTATCCTAACATTATCTTCCAACTTTTTTCCCTCCATATATTGAACAATTGTTGATGATCCTCCCAGTGAAAAGCATGTATCTCCAGATATGGGCATTTTAAAGGTTAATGATAAACTGAAGGGTGACATTTTACATTATTAAGATAAATAACTTATTTGAAAAGCCTCTAGATTAGCTGGAATAAGCATCGTCACAAAGATCAAAAGCGTTTTTTCTCTGACATTACTATTATTATTTATTACATTTTATTTTGTATACCCCTGTAAATAATTACTGCACTTTATTCCTTATTCCTAAATAAGTATGTATGCTGCGTGTATTTCTTGTCTTATGTTTTTTTTTTTTTTATGGCACCTTTTAAAAGTGAGAAGCTTTTCTTCTTTCATTGTACATGTATAATGACATTAAATGATTCTATTCTATCCGTGGTTCTCACAAACAGGGGGAATATTCAAGAATAATTGAAATTGTTACCTTGTTGCTTAGACAGTCAAATTATTCAACTGGAGGCATATTTTGAGGAAAAAGTCATCTGTGTGTCTTCATCTCCCTTTTGATGTATCTTCCTCACCTGATGCTCCCTGCTCTCCCTCTCCTCTTCCTCTCAAGCATCCCTTCTCTGATTTTATAATTCATTTGTGATGATTCTGCTGCATGGATAAAATCCCAACATTAAGCTGGTCATTGACTTCACTTTGTGTGATTAGCAGAAAGGCCGGACTGAGCCAGAAGTAGCCACTCACTGCAATTAAGTTACTGCAGATCATTCAAAGAAAACTCCCAGCTCAGTGTTCCTCATGGAGTTTTTATCATCTTTTGTCCACCTCATCTTAAATTAAGCCTTAGTTGACTTAGTTGTCAGGTCTTTATTTTTGCAACAAAAAATATATATACATGCAGGATTGTTTTTGTCCACGTTGAACATTTTCTTGCTTTTAATGAGAGATAGTTTTTGTCCGTATTGATCTGTTGTGACATGCGTGGTCTCCCCAGAATTAATATTTGTGTATTAAAGCAGATTTACTTTAACTGGAAAATAGAAACTTCTGCACCCCTACTGAAAATGTATCCATGTGTCTATGTCTTCAGGAGGAAGCACATGTGCTGTTACTGTGGTTTCATATAGTCAGTAATCACTAGTTTGTGTTTAAGGTTGTGAAGTAGTGGGAGTTCTCTATCTGGGCTGGCTAAACAGACGACAGTTGTACCAAATTAAACTTCACACATGATTGCTCAGACTTGCTGTTTCCTTCTCTGTGTGAATCTAGAGCAGGATCTGCTGCTGAAGCCTCAGAAGACATGGGTCCACATGGATAAGGCGGAACCGGAGAAGCTGGAGTGGATGAAAGACTTGCCTGCACCCAGAAGGAAAGGAACCAAGAAGGTGCAGAGATATTTCTTACAATACCAGTGGATAACATTTTCATTGATTTTAATTCAAATCTTGTATTTAAATACGATTTTCTGCATTGAGTCAACACATTGTGTGTTTCTGTTTCCGGATGCAGGCCATGCAAGCTCGGTTTGACTTTGCAGGGACTTTGATTCCACCAACGCAGGATCTGCCCACTCATTTGGGCCTGCACCACCACGGAGAGGAGCCTGAGGTCAGTAGAGAATACATAACAAACTATTTTATAAAATATATAGAACAGCTTTAGTAGGGCTGCTCGATTATGGCAAAAATCATAATCTCGATTATTTGGGTCAATAATTGTAATTGCGATTATTAAATGCGATTATTCATTGACTTTGAAAACATCCATTTATTGGAGGAAAAAAAATGTGAACAGCATGTTTTTAACAGTTGATTACCCTGAACGTTAAGTATAATTCAACTGAAAACCCCCAAAAAAAAAATTATAAAAAAAAAGAAGTAATAATAAAAAAGAATAGTTTTATTTCGATTACGTTGTTTTCGTAATCGTTGCAAGCCATAATCGCGATTAAAATACGATTAAAATACGATTAATTGAGCAGCCCTAATCTTTAGGTCTATTCACGATGTTCCTTTGTATTTAAGATAGCTTTTAAGAAACTCAATAGAAGCTCAAATGTAAAAAAACCTATTTGGATCAGCCATAGGGATTTGCTTATGTCTATTTTCTAATGTAAAATGATTGAATACATGTTCTAGTTATTATTTAGGTTGTTTCACTGTGACAGCCCAAAATACCTTTTGAAAAAGGGAAGCGGTATCTAGACTAAAAACCTAATTATTGTTAAAGGTTATCTTTTAAGATGAGGCTCCAGGTATTTTCTTTAAAGTATTTGTACTCTAACATTGGTGACTTCTCCTCCTCAGCGGGCAGGTTACTCCCTGCAGGAGCTCTTCCTGCTGTCTCGGAGTCAGCTGATCCAGCAGAGGACTCTAGCCATCAGCACTCTGGCTAACATCCTCTCAAAGGTACACAAACAAACACACACACTGTTGCTGCAGAGGCACATTACTTTAGTTACTCATGTGGGTTCATTTCTTCCTCTGTAGGCCCGTACCGGGGAGTACCTGTCTGTCCTGAAAGGCAGCATGGTGTCCACTCTGCTCGACGCCGGGCTGCTCTTCCTGCTGCGCTTCGCCCTGGACGACGGTGTGGAGGGAGTGATGTCTGCAGCTGTGCATGCACTCAAAGCTCTTCTCGTCTGTGAAGAGGATGAAGTAAGGACACTTGAAAGTATAACAGCGTGTCATTAACCTTTGTGCATCACTTGGGACACTTGAAATATAAATGTGTTTATCATTGTGACCGTGTTAATGCATTTGGGCATAGATTTTGGCAAGAATATTAGCTTTTTCTTTCCTCAGAATCATGAAAGTTTAAGCTCCTATAAAAAAGCCATGCAGCCAAAACACAGACACTCAACCCTTACCTTTTCATTAAGATCTTCAGAACAACTTTTTGGGATGCACATCGAACAGCCTTTAGTCTTTTTCATATTATTGTATCATTTAATCTGCAATACTCACCTGAATCTAATTAGGAAGTGATTGTGCAGAGTGCAAGATCACAGTAAAGTTTTTCACAAACTGAAAAGGAAAAATGGTTCGTTGAAGAGAGGATAGACTTTGGTTGTCTGTTAAAGTTCTTCTGTATTCCAGTTCAATGTCTATCCTTCTTGTTCATTTCTAAACGTTGCCCTCTCAGGAGTGTTTGGACTGCACCTTCTCCTGGTTCCGCGGCCTGGCCTCCTTCCCTCTGCTGCCATCTAATCAGGAGGAGGAAGAAGAGGAAGATGCAGGGCTGCCAGAAAATATGAAGTTCACAGCTGAGGAGAGGGAGGAGAGGAAGAAAGATCATGATGTGGCAAGGCAGGATGTTGTCAAGGTAAACATTTGGCTTTTTCAGATGTGTTGCATATTGTAAATGTTAAAAAGTTCCGTAGATTAAGTTTGGAGGATCATTCCTGTCTGTCTTTCAGGGCCTGCTCAAGATGAAACTGCTCCAGAGGCTGCGTTACATCCTTGAGGTGGTCCGACCGTCTCCTCCTGTGGTCCAGAACGTCCTGCAGATCCTGACTCGTATCGCCAGGCACTCCTCTTCATCTGCCACCGTGGTAAAAACCATCACTTAAATACATAGAATGATAACAAATAAATATTGTGCATAGAGAGGACTGTTACAATAAGTCCCACCTTGGCTATATTCAAACATTCATAGCACCCAAACATTGCCAGATTCAATAAAATGTATTTCCCTCTCAGGTGCTCAACTGTCCTCGCTTGATGAAAACGGTGCTGTCAGAGTTCCTTCCCTCTTCCTGGACCACGCCATCTTCTCCTCTTCCTCAGTCTGTTTACGGACTCCCACTGGCCAGTGCCATGAAGCTGTTGCGAGTATTAGCTACCTCTGGCAGACATGCCTGTGCCAGACTGGTAAGGACAGCTGTGGAATTTATTAGGGCAGAACAGTATAATGGACTGATTATTTATTAGACTAACTTTGTTTTAACAGTTGTTTTGCTTACTTGATTAACTGTGTCAATAATGCTAATGCCTTTCACATATGAAAGTATCAAGTGATGTGGGAATAATGGAGACACCTTTCTCTATTGATCATGCCAGTGGCGTAACTATCGACGGTGCAAAAACATTTTTGGGGCTCCAATGGCATTGACCGCTTCACGCAGTCTTCAAAGTAACCAAGCAACCTAAATTGATTTGTAATTTGTCTGTCCAATGACCTTGCTCCCTTTCATTTCATGTGATACCTTGCGTGACGAGCGAACCGTTTAATCAACCTGTACTGTAGCTAGCAGCAGCAAGTTTAGCAGCATTATAAAAAATGTAATAGCTTGCATTTATAATGTACAGCAAACCAGACCTTGTTACGCCACTGGATCATGCTCAAGTCATTTGTTTTGCATAGTACTGTATGTGCATGGGTCTGAAATCTAACATCTGGGATCACTTATATTCTTGACCGTCTGTAAAATGCAAAAATAGCAATTAATGTTGAGTATAAAATAAGAATACTATGAAATACTGCTCTTCATTTGCATGTTTGTGACCTCTGATCACATACGATAAGTACCAATGTCCAATTTCGAATTATTCCACTATTCCCACATGTATAAGTATTCTTGGCGCACATTTCTCTCTTCCTCCAGATCAACTCTTTTGGTGTGAAGGAGCGTCTGCCTTGCCTGCTGAGTGTGGACCCCAGTGAGCTGCTGCTGGACCCAGCCGAGGCCCTCAGGATCACCACTGAGGCCCTCAGGCTGTGGGCTGTGGCAGCCGGCTATGGTCAGGCCTGCAAACTATACATGTGAGTACACACATTCAAGCTGAGGGTTAGACTCAAAAAAGGAAATGTGCTGACGCTCAATGAAGACAATAATAATAAAAGAAAAAGGTTTGATGGCGTTGTGAAGAAGCGTGGGATCATGGGAGTTGCAGTAACAGTTGAAGTCAGCTTCTCCTCACATCATTATTTGCAGTTTCTATCAACAGACAAACAGAGACGCTAACTAAAACTGTTAAAAACAAGGAATAAATCAGCAACCAGGTATTTCTCCAACACTGCTCGCCTATTTTTCTGACCATTTAAAGATCACCTATTTTAGCCAAATCCACTTTTTCATGACTTTTATACCTAAATATGTGTCCCTTCTGTGTAAAGACATTCTGAAAGTTTCATGAAAAAATATTCTCTCTCTTTTTGTCCTGATCCATTTATATAAAATCTTGTCTGAAAATTAGCTGATCAGATTTTGGCTACTTTGTGATGTCATAACTATTTTTTGGTTTGTGTAACCATTAACCAATCACCAACCAAGGTAACCCCCACCCACCTTATCAACTGAATCTCCTCCTAGAGCACCATTGTGTTATTTTTAACCAAATATCTCTCAGAGGGGCATGGGGAGAGGCTCCTTATTTTTCATCTAAAGTAACAGACAGAGAATCAGCACTTTTGAAACAGGGCTGAAACAGAGGGGATTATGGGATGCTGTAATGATCTGATTGGTATTTCAAGCCAAACACTTCAGAGACATGTTTGTATATATCTAAGACCTATAATATATTGAAGAAAAACAGTATAATAGGGGACCTTTAAACAGGGAAGTAACGCTGTATTTTTCTCCTTATCTGACCACCACACATCATCCAGGCAGATTTTTTTGGCAGCTGAATAGACAAAACGTACCGATGGTGGTTTCACAGAACTTCTCATCTGCGACCTCGCTGGCGATGTTGGCCCCCATTAGGACGCTGACCTCTATCTCCAGTTTCTCTCGGATGATGTCAGAGATGAGCTTAAGTCCATCTGGTCCCTCATCGATACCCTGGGAGACAATAACCAATTAGAAACCGCTTTGGTTAACTTTCAATTCTTTGGGTTAACTTTCAATTCTCACTGGTGTCATTGTCCATGTGTTACTGTATTTTTTCTGTTTTGCTTTTATTTGACATTTTTAAAATTGTTTTATTTTAACCTATTTTAATTTCTTGTCAGCTTTACTTCAAGGGAATTCCATTAGGGTCACTGCTGATGTTTTATCTTGTTCTCTATTTATTTGTATGTTGTTGTAATGTTTTCTTCTTGTTCTGTAAAGCACTGCTTTGTGCACGAAAGGTGTTAATCAAATAAAGTGTATTATTATTATTATTATTATTTAGAAACAGCTTCTGTCCTTGACTTAGTGTCATAAACTCTGTCCTGGAAAGGGTTTAAGTTATGGATACTTTAGGGTTTGATTGCGATAAATCAGTGCGTTGCTCAACTTCTACATCCCATGATGTCGTGGCCACAAAAACAATAAGTCAGCTGACACTATTTCCCTGTTTCGATTTTTTTTGATGTGAGGAAATCTGACATGAAGAAGTGGATCTTACTTTGATGAGGGATATCCCGATGGTTCCCTCCGAGATGTGGGGTTTGATCTGATCACACAGCTTGCTGATGAACTGGTGAGGGATTACAAAGACCAGGATCTTCGCTCCTCTGACGGCTTCTGAGATGTCTGGAACAGCGACCTAGCAAGGAAATAAATCATCCCTTAATAGTGTCAGATCATTGAGTATCAACAACGTAGACTCACCTTATTCAAGTCTGGCTTTGCTATTTTTTTTTTCGTTAATAAATGTATTTTATACCAGATTGGTCCCTTGAATGGCACCGTCTTGGGTCCCATATCATTTTCTCGTTATACTAACTATTATTTATACATTTCACAGCAAAAGAAAACTGGTTGAAAACATCCATAATGATAACAAAAATATAAAATAGGTCTTTATAAGAATGAAATACAAAACTGATTTAGAAATACGACGTGAAGAACTTGTACAAAAAAAACATATTCTTATCGGCCCCTTGGAAAATATCCATATGACGCCACAAATAAACCACACACACACAACAGTAAACGCAAGATACACAACACCATAAAGAAAGCCTAATAAACAGATCAATAACCATTCTCTTTTGAAAAGATGCCTTTGCTCACCCTGCTTCTCTCTCACAGGTCAAATCTATGTGAAACTCAAGGAAACTCTTACAGTTTGCAACAATGACAAAGAAATAAACGTGATAACATGCATATGGGTCGGACTTAAGTAATCTTATACAATCCAAGTATGTTTCAAGACTGCAGTGAATTGATTATCCGTAGATACTGCTGTTCCCTAAATTGGAGAACTTACCACATTCCTGGGCAGCGTGTGACCTGGTAGATATTTGACATTTTGGTGATCGGTATTAATGATCTCTGTTAGCTTCCTCCCATCGATCATCTCTTCATAAACCCACATGTTCACCATTGGGTCGAACCGGTTGGAGGCTTTGACATTATGCCCGATTATTTTGGCAATGGAAGAGCCCCTGGAGAGAGTTAAGGACAAAAGTAGACAATTAGGGGAAAACTATAGCATTAACCGGAGAAAAAGGTCTCATTCAATTCAAACTACACTTTTACTGCGTCAAACACTTTTGAAATTCAGGTCAGAAAGTAAACATTTCCCATAAATATAAGGAATGTGATTTGCAATAAATGAATAGAGGACAAAAAAACACGTTAGTTTCAACAAATACATTTATAATAGGAATACATATATATTTAAATAAAACTGTAAATACAATAACATAAGGATGCATTAATTTAAAAAAAATACATTTTCTTAAAACAGAGATTAGCACTTCCTATTTTATAACCATGCAGACAACATCTACTTAAATTAATGAAGGTTGTGCATTTTTCTATTGTTAACCTTTTTATTTCAACATATCTTTATTTCAGTTTTATTTAAAGTATTTATTTATCAGATCCTGTATTTATGAATGCATTTCTTTATTAAGTCATGCAGTCCTCTCTATTGAACACATGCGCACTTAAAAAAGGCGAAATAAAATGGCGTCACGTGTGCATTTAGGGCTAAAACTTTGATCAAGTATCTAAAGGTGATTATGTGTCAGGCAGCAGACAGAATAATCGTATCTGAGCTAACATGGAGCAGCTTGTAGCTTTATCCTGGAGGTCGGCAAGAAGATGCTGTCTGCAGACTGGATCATCAACAGCTGGATTTTAACTTTTGCATTTTTATTGAGATGTATAAAAGCGTAATACATTAGACTTAGGCGTTTTGACGCTATTGGTCTGAATCTGCTAAATATTCATCCGAGTTCAGTTACGCGATTGCTAGCAGTACATTCAATGAATGGTATGTCTGTGGAAGAGGCATTTAATATACAGATGTTAATTTACCAGTTTCCAGATCCCACGATGCACACTTTCTTTGCAGGCATTATTGCGAAAATGCGAATCCTATTGCTGGTTGAAGCGATGCTTTTGTTTATTCCTGGTATAATAACTTCCTCATACGCCCTGCTATAAATGTCTATCACCCCTCCCCCACCTCACCACGGCTACACCTCTTTTCCCCTCACAACCATAATACCATATAATGCAAACTAACAGTTATAGCTATTTTAACGCTTTATTCTTAATTTTTCCACGTTATAGTTCAGCCTACCTAAGCATGCATTATATGGATGCAGTAAGTGTATAAAGGACAACCTAACGTAGCCTATATTCATAATGCATCTTGATGTTTTTACCGGTCATTTATTATTAAGTATTAGTAATGACTGGACATAATGGGAACCTGCCCATCACATCTTCAATTACACTTCCGGTCAAGCTACCTTTCAAAACGGCGTTTATTGATTTATTAAACATATGTAAAACTACTACCTAAGTTATGCTGAGGAAGAACATTTTATAGTATTATAACCATTCTCCTGCAACTAGTTAACTCCTCAAATCACTCATTTAATTGGTCGAAAACCAAAGTAATACAATTGAAGGAAATTATATATATTTTTGTACTGAAATCTCTGAGTTAATATCCTTTTATTTATTTGCTCGTTTTTTTATTTAATTTATGATGTAATTGTCCTTCAATATTCTCATGATATACTCTTCTTGAGTCTTAAATAACTGTTGCACTTGTATGCGCTGTTTTTGTTTACCTGAATGTTTTGTACTCTTGTCAATAAAGAAAAAAAATCGATACACGGAAGCTCGCGCTGTAGTCACATGACTGCTTTCCTGCCAGGCAGTAAATATCAGGCGAGCTAGCATACACAGGCTCACTGACTACTCCCTGAATTAGCGCAATTGAAAATGTTTTATCTTTCGTTTTTCAACTTACCCAGTTAACAGCGTCTGTCGGGTGTGTGGAGGTGTTAATAAGCGATGAACTGGCTGCTTGTGTTATAAGGTTTTACTTAATTCAATCTGTAGTGACTTAGTGTAGCTAGCTTAGCTAGCTTCCCAGGTTAGCTTAACGCTACAAGCTGAGTTAGCGTCTGAAGGGGGCTTCGTTGCTTGTGATTATGCAAGGGGAAACCACGGCTATACGAATTACGGAAAATGAAGGAAAGCTGGATGTATTACCCCAGAACAGGACCCCAAGCTCCGGGAGAGCAAGTGCCAAAAGCTGGCAGTATAGGTGGGTGTCTGTTTATCCTGTCATACCTTCTGATTTAAGGCGTATTTTCTATCGAGCAAGTTTGTAATAATACACAATGTTCAGTTAATTATCATGTGTTTTCACTGTGCAATGTGTGGCCGATTTGCTCTTAAATGAATGATTAGGAATTAAATGTGCTTTCTAATCTGACAGGTAGCAGGGAAATCAGATTGCCCTCTGAGCAAACCTGTCAACGCTGTGTGATTAATGTGTGCATGCACCTATGGGTGTGTCCAAGTATCTGAAGTGTCCATTGTCTCCTTTTTGCTTGATAACCTCCAGTGACCACATGGAGAATATCGATGGCTACTTGATGAAATACACCAACCTTGTAACAGGGTGGCAATACAGGTGAGTTTTATATCTGTGTTTTAATATGACACCAAACTAAACAGTATGTTGTCCCAAGAATAAGAAGACACAACCACTTTCAGCCAAATTCCTTCCTGTAATCCAATCTGCCAATCTGGATGTACGTGGACTGAAATTGTCTTTGTGTACCAGTTGTACAGTTTTTCATGCATACAAGTGTATCTGAAAGTATTTAATAGAGAAAACAAGCAAAAATCATTGATGTTGAGACAACTGCATTGTTTCACTACTGAAATAGCGTTAAAATCACAAATGCAGGTTCTTCGTCTTAAACAATGAGGTGGGCTTGCTGGAGTACTTTGTCAATGAGCAGTCAAGACCCCAGAAGCCCCGGGGTATGCTCCCCCTGGCAGGGGCCGTCATCTCCCCCAGCGATGAGGACTCGCATACCTTCACCGTCAACGCCATCAGCGGGGAGCAGTACAAACTCAGGGGTGGGTACCTAATGCGCATTTAACTGTCTTATGTCTGATCGTTGCTAATTATTTTACGTCTTACTGTCATCACCATCCATCATACAGTATTGATCTGGATGTTTTCCATTAGCTGCTCCTAGATGCAGAAGCACGCTGAAATTGATGCTGAGTAAGATGCATCGCAGAGTAATGTTAACGTGGTTTGGCTTTTTGTGTGTCTCTCAGCCACCGATGCCAAAGAGAGACAGCATTGGGTGAGCCGTCTGCAGATCTGCACCCAGCACCACACAGAGGCCATGGGGAAGGTAAGATCGTGTGCAAATAATAAAAGAGGAGGCACACAAATACATGTAGATTGTATTTAAATGACTGGGGACTGTATTTAGAATAGATGTCAGTCAATACAACAGTGTATAATATCAATTTAAGGTTTGGATAAACATAAAAATGTCAGGATGTGAGCTGGACATTCTTCAGTTTCATGTTTTACTTCCTCAAATGCAATGAAGCAATTGAGCAAAGCGAGATATACAAAAATAACTAACCCTAAAATTCAATTGGTGTGTGTCAGCATAGTAATAACTCATATTGAGATATATTGATCTACCATTAAACGTGAAACTTTCTCCGGTATTTCTAAATCCAACGGGCCAATCAAATGGCTCAATCCAATCAAAGATGCATACATTATTGCCAACCTGGTTTGAAAGCGAATATCTCATCCTTTGGTCTCCTGATTCCAGGAGGTGTTTTGGGAATGTCTATCACAGGCAAACCAATCAGAGCCGTAGGGCTAAATTACACTAGAACTAAAAACACAGAATTCTTTAAGCAGTGGTTAGAAATATTCAGGAGCTGAATGAATTTGGTTTTAAATGATCAGATGAACAATTTGCCTTGCACAGACTAACCCCCCGCCCAAGTCCCGGAGCTACTCTATGGCGTCTCAGGGCAGCGGCAGCTCACCGATGTCCGTGCGGCGGCCCAGCCAAAACCCTGCGTTGTTGTTCAGCTGGCAGGCCAACAAGGGCTCGTCGCTGTACTCCAGCAAGAGGTCTCTGCTGCCGGACCACCTGATGGAGGCCCGAGAGGTACTGCTGCCACACTCAGTCTCCTACTACTGTTAACATTTAATATTATTAATATCATCCTAAATCTGCGATTATTTCGAGTTGTAATCACAATGTTAATTTCATTATAGTATCTAACATTTGAATCTATTTGATATGAAATGTCTATTCTATGCTAATTTTATGTTTCTCTTTACTGGTAACTTTATTCTATGTGATGTCAATTATCCAATCCTTCCAATCCAACTTTATTTATATAGCACATTTAAAAAAAAAAAAGAGTTGACCAAGTGCTGTACATCAATACATATATAAAAAAGCAGCATAAATACATTTAGACAAAACCGATAGGACTAATATAAAAGCACGAGACAATAAAACCATACTTATAGCCACAGACTGAAAACCCTCATACACGATGTAAAAACAATTTAAAACACAACAAAATAGAAAACCCCAATTTAGAAAACACAGACTGATACCTCTTATACGTGGTCTGCAAAAGCATGGGAGAACAAGTAGGTTTTTAAACGAGATTTAAAAACAGGCAAAGTGGGAGCAAGTCTGATCAATTCTCTGTGTCAATTCTCTACTGTAAGGCACTCTGGACTCTTGTATGAAAAGTGCTATACAAATAAAGCTTATTATGCTTTGAGACATCAGGATCAGCACATAAACTGTATTTTTGCTAAATGTATCACACATATGCTTTTCAACTATGTGCTTCATGTTTACTTTGCTTCCAAACGTTGAATATCAGTTTCCTTGACTACCAATCATTTGTATCATATTCGTCCCTAAAACATATCAATACATCCATATTCCTCCCATGGCCGACAAGATATTTAGTGGTTAATTTAAACTAATTACAGTTGGATTTAGTTGCTTCAGATGTATTTAGTGTCTCTCGTGTTCCCTTTGACCCATTTGTATGATGGTCATTGTCCACAAGAGGGTGCTGTTGTTTCTAATAATAATTTTTAGTAAGAGGAAAAAAGAAGATGTGTAAGGGGACATTGGCACAAGTTTTTAATTTTAAAGTGCACAGATTAAAAANTGGTCGTTTGCTTGGGCCACAAACCTGAAACCCATAGAACAGGCCTATTCAACTGGCGGCCCGCGGGCCGGATGCGGCCCAGAACCAACTCCCGAGTGGCCCAGCCTCCCGTAGCCAAATTCCTACACTGCCACTCGGGAGTTGGTTCTGGGCCGCATCCGGCCCGCGGGCCGCCAGTTGAATAGGCCTGTTCTATGGGTTTCAGGTTTGTGGCCCAAGCAAACGACCAGTTTGTCAAATATATCATATTTCTTCTTGTAACTTCTGACATGTCTGTATGTGCGTGAATTCACTGCAGAAATATTATTCTTACAAAACAATCCTTGCATTAGGTATTTAAACAGTTATCAGAGATCAGAAGACATTCAGTGATTAGAAGGAGCTTTAAGTTCTACATGCTAAATAGTGATCTTTGTTTTTTGTTTTTCTTTTAATAATTGTCCTTGCAAAATATTGATCATTTCTGACACTGTTTGTATTTATTTATTCCATCCCCTGTGGTATTTCAAAACAATCTTCCTAAAAAAAACAGCACTGTCATTTCCAGCTTATGTAAATATAATTTGCATATTTTGTAAAATGTGAGAATATAGTCTGTATATCTTTTTTTGACATGCCAATATAGTACATAGAACAGCTAGAATGATCATAACTGTAATGCAGGTGTTATATCAAGCAGTAGTTTAAAAGCTAAAGCACAGCAGAACCAGATATAGTTATGTATATGGCACGCTCATGCAAATAGAGGTAGCAGCCTATTGACAAATGCTTTACAACATTGCCTCCAATTATTGTGGCACAAAGGAGACATGTTGAAAGGTGGTGGTAAGTCCAAACACGTGCGGTGCAATTATTTCATCTTTTTACAGTGAGCGGTATCGCTGCTTATAGCAATTTCATACAAATCTGCCCAAAATGTCAAGTGTCTCTTTCAAGCAGCATTTTAGC